TTTCATGCATATTTCCGTGATATAGCCATTCCCCATTCATGTGGGGGATTGTTAGGTTTAAGCTTGCTAAATCTTAAAATATAGTGAATGGAAAATGGAGGAAAAAATAAAATATTTGAATTTCCCTCTTTGACTAAGGGACATCGTCCCATATTGGAGGAGGAAAAGAGTTTTGATGGGTATATATACAATTGCTCTTCTTCTAGCTCTTAAATAGTTGAGAAGAAGGCAAGCATCGCACCGTCGTCGTCGTCGCTCGCTTCGGCTTCGGCTTCGGTTTCGGTTTCGGCTTTAGATGCTCTGATTGATTGATTAGTTTTTTGGACCAAACTTATTTGTTGAATATTAATATTTAATCCAAATTGGCCGTTTTTGTAACGGTAATTTAAAGTTTCCCTCCGATTTTATTTTCCCGTTTTATTTTGCATAAATAGCCATTTATGTAATAGCCGTTTTTCGTGAATGGTCATCTTGAAGAGTTTCACCTCTTCGTTTAAACCCAATCCGTTGGCTATAAATAGCATGCCATTCCCTTAGATTTTCCTTACAAAAATTCTGAAATCTCCTTCTTTCTTCTGCATTGTTTTAACTACAACAAAGCAACAGTATGTGTGATTTGCTGCCGTCATTTGTGTTCGTTGAAACACTGGGGTTTGAAGTACCGCTACACCAGTGTGTAATCCGTTCTATCCTGGGAGAAAATAATCCACAATCTCGGGTACTAGGAAGGGATTAAGTTCCTTAAGGAAACACTGAATTCAGTGGGCTTGGATTCATTTATGTTTCTTCTACATTTCTGGTTTTATATTGTTTTTCCTTCTCTAGAATTATTTTGCAAATACAGGTTACTAACAGTAGCTGCATGGTTTTATGTAACCAGGTACTCTTAGAGGAGAGCTTTCCATTTCTAAGACCAGCAAGGATGATTTCTGTGATGCCAAATAATGAAGCCACTCTAAAAACACGTAGAACTCCATAGATCAGTTGAATCTTTAATCTCTTAGCAGGACCATGATTGTCCTTCTAATAATTCAGTGGTTTGTCTGGAGTAAAATTATATATATGCCTTTCTTTAATCCAGTTGCTACACATAAATAAGTAGGCTCCATATCTGGCTTATAGAAATATGCAAGATGATGTTGCTATAACACTTTAGACTATAGCACCTAATTAGACTCCTAACATACCTTTCATTTTACTAACAGACAATGTTATATTGCATTTGGTGAATGCACTATAGAGAAGATAACATAGTAGAGATAGCTTCCGATTAAGGTAGCTAAATGTAACGTAAAGAATCTTGCCGTTGTTATAAGGGGAAAAAATAAAAAAGATTAGACATAATAGTTAGATAAGTACCTTATCCATCAAGAATATGGTTGGTTTGCTCGTGATTCCCCTAGAAACCTTGCTCAAGACACTGGAAGCAGGAGGAAAAAACCTTTTTTTTGTTAAACATATATTTTCCTACCAGCTAGCCCGTGTAAGAGTAAAATACGCAATGATTTTGACTAACATTGTATATCCATCTGTTTTTACCTTCTTAAACTTCAGACAAATCAATACAAACCTCTCCAGATGATATCAACGGTAACCCATTGAAGTATCCAACATAATAATCCATTGGAAAAGAATAATACAACAGGGAATTACCTCAAGAAGATAATTATGCAGCCAATCCAGTGTCTGCGGAAATGTTGCAGCTGATACGTCAACAACAGTCGAACCCTGTTGAGGAAGAATAGTACAGCTCCTCATCTTGAAAAGTGTGAATAAAAATTCAATCTTTTTTATCAAATAAACTATCTAATGGAAGCAAAGAAAACAAGCATCATATACCTGTGATGTAAAGGAACACAAGTAGTCCTGAATAGTCATCAAGTTAGTTATTACTTTGTCTTTATCCTGAAAAGAATTAACAACTAAAGAACAAGAAACACAAGGGAAAAAAATATGCAGATGCATATGTACCACCAGCAGGCAATGATATATATGTCTCTGCCAAGATCAGGCGCCAAATTATATCGATCGAAATGCACATAGTTAGATATAATAAATATGCAGATGCATATGTACCACCAGCAGGCAATGATATATATGAAAGCTTAAAAGCATTTGAAAAAACCTGGGCAGGATGCTTCTCCCTGAAAGTACGAGTAGCTACCCACTCCTCCAGAAATGCCTGGTTATTGGTTAAAGGTAAAAAAAAGCTTCTTCAATAAGTTAAGTAGCGAAATATATAGAATATTGAGGAGCAGTCCTATTCCTTTGTGTCACACATGTCAATATAAGATAATATAAAGAGCTTAATTACTTGCATATTAAATTAGTAACGAGAAAGAGAATATGGTACTTGTAAGAATTGAGGATACTTTGAAATGTAAGACAACAACTACGATCTCCTTGACTTCAAGTAAGTATGAAAAGATTAGGAAACAGACACAAACTTAGTAGTAAAATACCCTAGTTCACTTGGTCATAATTGTATATCTTGAAGATTAACAACACTAAAAGAATCTGGACCACCTTATGGTCAAAGTCAGCCATCCTTAGAACTATAGGAACAAATATTGGTTGACCACCGGAAGTTTGAGTTCTATCCACTCCTGAATCTTTAACTGCTTCACCAGCATCATCAGAAAGTCTGTGAGGAAGCTTCGATTCTGCCGAGAATTTAAAGGACAAGAAGAACTTGAGTAGAGGAAATTTTTTTGAAAATGAAAGTGGAAAAGTTGTAGCAAGAGGTACCTGTGTCTTCAGAAGTTATATTGACAATATCCATGGATTTCAGGGAATCTGTCAGCTTATTTAACTCAGAAGATGCTCCTGCTCTTGAACTAACATTCTCAAGATAGTGATCTTTAGCGTCACTCTGACTGCCAAGTTCAATACTGGAATTGCTTTCCCTTTGTATTTCTTTATGGTCTTTTACCTTTGAAAAGTTTAGGTCTTCATGGTCTACAGGAGGCAGTGATAGTAATTTATGCTCTTCTTCCATCAGGTATATTCTAGGATCTAAATGTATTCCCTGCCATTGTTAAAGGGATCACTGAATGTTGTATCATCTCTGGAAAATTGAAGGTAGCGGCAAAAGGAAACTTTATTAATAATAATCCAATGTTGAATTTGTTTGAAAATTGAAGGTAGAAACAAAAGTAAACTTCATATTGTTGAAATAAGTTGATGTTATATAAAGCTGCCATCAATAACTCTCATTGTGATGCCTTTTCTACAACATGTGAGACTTATTATGGCTTTATCCACTGTCATTCTGCCAAGGAGAGAGAATAATAACTAAAAAGGCTTTGCCTCCAATGATCTTAGTTTCAAACTTTCATGTCTATGCAGCTTGAAGAGCTTGCATTGTTTAAAGAGCCAGGGTCATCGAACACATTTTTCTGGAGCTTTATAAAGCTAGTAACTTCCTGCTTAGTTCCAGCGGCGGTGGCACTGAAGGTATAGGAATTAAGGATGTGCAGCGCACTGTAGGAGCTTCTTTAGTAAGTAAACTCTTAGAACTTGGACTTTTTAATACCAAGGACTCACTGTTTGCTACTTGCAATCCATCTTTCCCAATCAAAGAGTTCAAAAAGATCTTGAAACAGAAAGGGCACTTCTAGAAACGACTAAGCATTACAAATAAGCAATCAGAGAAGACACATTATGATACCTCAATTATAATCGGTTTACCATCTTTCATTGCCTTTTTCAAATCGCCAGCCAAACCTACGTAAATGGTGAGATATAGATCAAATTACTTGATATGCTTTGAAGCAACTATTTATACTGAAAGGTCGGAAATTATACCTTTCCATATTATTCTGCATTCTCTGCAAAATTCAGTTATTAGCTCCTCAGATGAGCCGAAATCTCGTGCCCATACTGGAGGAGACATCAAAGGTGCACTGACATAAATTTACAAGGTGCATAAGTATTCGGTTGGCACAGAAAGCTCAGAAAACTTTGAGTAACTATTCAACAGACATGACAATGAAATAACTGCAGGTGAAATGTATCAAAACTGAAAAATGAAATCTGCAGAGGTAGTACATACTCTGTTGATGTGCGAAGCAATTCATACACCATTTCTGTCTGTCAGGAAAAAGAAATACATTAATAGTTAAGCAAGCAAGAGAGTACATGCTTCTACGTACAAATAAAAAAATTGAGAATAAAATCTATAAGGAAGATACCTCCAAGACATTTGGCAAGTTCAGCCTTTGTGCTAGTTGTGTAGCAATAGTAGACTTCCCAACACAGGCAGTACCACAAACAAGAATAACAAGAGGAATTCTCTGGTGGTAAAATCTATGAAGATTTAAATGGGGTGGATATGATTAAAAAACTTTTCAAATAGGTAGTACCATAAACAAGAATTAGCAAAGGTACTCTCTGGTGCTGAAACCTCAGAATGTAAAAGCAACATAAAAAAGTGTAAGTGATTCGAAATTTAATGTGGCAATCTCAATCATCCCATTCCTCATCCCTCCGTTCTTTAAGAAAATGCATAAACAAGATATCATAAAAGGAAAAGAATGGGTGGGAAAGCAAATATCACTCACCTTGTCATCATTTTATAACGCTTTATATACTCTTCTCCAAAACCTCTCCGCTCCATAAGCTGCACAGGGTTAAATGAAATTCAGTGTAGATCTACCACTCAAACTTTGAAAAACTTCAAACCAGAAGGAAAGTCAAGGAAGTTTGAACATGAACTAGAATGAGAAATTTATGTAGTAAGGAGCAGGAAAACGCAGAAATTGTATCTAAATATTTTCTGCATTTGATCTGTCCTTGTTAAATTTGCATGAACCAGAATGAGATGTTTATACAGTTATGACTTATGAGTAAGAAACAGGTGAAAATTTAATCTAAATCTCTTGCAAATAATATGTCCTTGTTAAATATTTTTGTTTTAGGCAATTGGTTTCGCAATGATTTCTCATGGCGCAACGGTTGTCATGGAAGAAGCAATAAAACGACATCTTAGCCGTTTGTTGATGCTTGCTAAAAGGTAGTTCCCTGACAGAATAACATGTTTCCTTTGTCGGATTGCAAGATCATGCTCATTTTTGACACTTTAAAAGCTTTTAAATTAGAGACATGGAGGTTGTTTTTGTCAAACGTGATTATTCAACACTACTTGAAAGGACCATTAAATGCCTAAAGGCATTGAGCAATCTCAGCTTAAACTTGATCCTCATCAGAAGATCTCCTGTGATTTAAAGGTTCTAGCTGCATTTCCAAGTTAAAGATGCCAACAAAATAAATTTTAACAACAAATTCCTAAAATGCCTAGCATTGGAGGTAATCATGAAGCAATACTGCTCAATCTTTGAGTCATTATTAGCTAAAGTTCGCAGGAGTGAAGAAGATGGTTTGGCTGGCAAGTTTTCAGGCTGGGTAATGAAATCATATAAACGTTTTTAGAACATTTGTTCATAAGCCGGCATGAAGAGAGAGAGAGAGAGAGAGAGAGTCAAGCTTAAAGGGAAGGACAGGAGTTTTATATCTTGTTGTTCATCATTACGAACAGCAAAGTCAAATTATCAGGTAGATGAAAGAGACTCTCCTGAGGATAACCAACACTAAGAGCGAAAAGACCACATCCAACATTCTAGAAAAATGAGAGGCATGCCCAAATTGTATTTGCTACCGAAATCACCAAGGAAAAAGTCACATCTCAAGCAAAAAAAATGGAATGAGAGAAGCAATCATACAAATGTTATTTGAACATCAAAAATGATTTGAAGGAGAACAAAGGGAAACACAAAATTATGATACCTTAAACAAGTTTGCCTCTAAATCTGCCTGAGAGCTGCTCAAGAACCGGCAACCAATTAGTTTTACAGATGAAGTACATAAAACATTGAATTGAGAAGAAGATATAAGTTAGAGCGTCATACACATCAAGAAGGCTGTTGTCAACAAGAAGCTTTTTCAGATCAAGGGCAATTTTAACTGCCACGTGATTTGGTATCTGTAAACATACACAAGTGCATATCAACTCCAGATTTCATAATATGAAGTTATAGGAAAAAAGGATTATGTAGTAAGGCCATTCATTTCAGGAATTCAAGCGACAATGGAGACTAACAAGGGACGGGGTACTTAACTGTCCACAATGATCTAATTATAAGTGCAGCATGCTAAAGTAGTCATCTTATTTTCTGTGAAATAAGAATATTGCTATGATCATGCTTGTTGGCCAACAAAGTAGATAATCAACTTGGAGCAGGTACTAGGAAAACTTATGTAAACAGGAGAACAATATGTGCACATATAAGAATACTCATTATTTACATCATTATATATGTTTCAAGAATTGATTTGCCAAATAACAAACTATTGATTATTTTAATTTTCACGTGAAAAGTAAGGCGTTCGTCATGTTTTTCATCCTTTGTTGCTTGTCATTCAATCAGATTACTAAAAAAGGATCATTCATTTGCTTTAGGAAGACTCAATCACATAATTTCATTATCTTCGTTATAGGCCTTCTATACCTCTTTTGTTCAATTTTGAATTCGAAATAGTGAGATATCTTATTTGAAAACCAAATTGCATGTTGTAGTTGTTTTATTTCGATTTTGATTGAATACTTATTCAAGCAACAAGAAAAAAGAAATCCCACTCTTTATTGAATTTTGGAAAAGTAAAATAAATATATTAACTTACCAAAGAAAATATTTAAATATATAAATATTTTTTAATTTTTTTTCATAACAACAACAAAAAACCAAATGTAATCCCACAAGTGGAGTCTATGGATGGTAGTATATACGCAACCTTACCCACTTTTGAATGTCGAGAGGCAAAATTTGTCTTCATTTATCTACATATTACTACACAAATATATAAATATAAATATAAATCAGGAATTAATAACTATTACTACTAGTTTAAAAAGTCAACCCCAAGATAGTTTGGCAAAACAAGATGAAGATAGGATGTGAACTCGTCACCTCTAGGCTACGAGCCTTGAGAGCTACCGTTCTGTTCTACCATGCGCCAAAGATAAGATCTGAAAACTAATGGAGCTAAACAAGGATTAAATGCCTTATTCTATCTCCACTTATGAAAGGCCAAGCCACATATATAATAGGCATTACTATTCGAAGAGCTTTACTTCAAGAAATAGAAAGACCATGTATCACACATGTAGAACACATGCAAAATATGAGAAAGTCGTCCCATGTTATTATTCTACCATAAGGAACATCCAAGAATCAGTACGTGAAATTTTATTTAATTTGAAAGAAATTGTATTGAGACGTAACATATATAGAATCTTGACGCGTCTATCTGTGTCAGGGGATATATAAGTATTCGAGATATCATCTTGACGTGTTATGTAGAGATTGTTGATAATACACAACAAATTGGTAGTTTACGGGCCACTTGTTACAAATAAGATATTGTTGTTGCAAGGAAAGAGATAAATGTTGACTAATCTGGCTAACATTAACTTGATAAAATGAAATGATATGAATAATTGAAAAATGATACGCATTGATTCTGGAGGTGGATAGATAAGCAAAGAAAGTTAAAGTGATTGTGATTGTTCCAAAGAACTTAAACAAAATATATGGTAGAGTTAGGACATTTATTGTTGAGAGCAACCTAATGCTAGATAAGGCACATAATAGATAGATATAAACATCGTGAGTTTTTCCGTAACATAACCAGTTGTTGTTGATACCCTCTTCTCTCTTATTTCTTTCATAACCATAGCTCGGAGAAAGGAAATATAGAAGCGGGTCGACAAGTAATGACACGACGTGGTGGAAAAATATAGGAGTGCATGTATATTTCCAGACAAACCAATTACACTAACACCCGTAGAAACACGCCTGTCTCCAGGAAAATTATCCCAGATATTGGGTATCATTCCCCGCTGAAGGGTAAAAGTTCAAGATATCATCTCGGAAAAACGTACTCTCCGGATGATTACTTTCCTTAGAAAGAATATTGCAAAACATGATACAATAAACTAACGATATATCAACGTAGAAAAGTAAGAAATGCAGAACGCAAAAGATAACTAAAATGAAAAAAAATTAAAACAAAAGGACTACAGTAGACCTTAGTGACCATTAACATTCGACTGAGCAAAAATCTGGAGAGAACATAGTAATGATCGTCATTATCACCTAGCCAGACCTTCACCTGAAAAAAGGTCAATAGAGAAAAAGAAACTTCAAAATTAATTAACTTTGCAGAATAAGTAGCAAGCAGAGCAACTGATCGACGACCTTAACAAAGTCATATTTGGATGAAGCATTTCGTGTTGCCATTACAACTCCCTTATCCTTCTTCTCTATGAATATAATTTCTGGTATATATGCTTTAGAGTGACGGGCGTTACAGTCCCAGGTAATGCCGTTAATAACGAGGGAGAATGGAATCCACCTTTTAAACCGAATTTTGATTTTTGCACTAAGTATAAATATATTATAAGTATAAATTAGTATTCCTGGGGTATGGGTATCATGCATGCTTAATTATTTATTTATATATTGAAATATAAAGAGGTTCGAGCATCAAAAAGGAGAAGAGAATAATAAAAGAGGTTCGAGTTCAAATACAGATTAGTGAACTCCCAATGCGAGTAATAAACATTAAGTGAGAATAATAAAAGAGGTTCGAGTTCAAATACAGATTGATTTGCGTGCGTGGTCCATATCGTTTTGCGGAACGTTTTTACGTAAAATTTTGAGGCAAAAGTGATTTTTGACATAAAATAAGGCTCGAATTAACCACAGACAACGTTTTTGGTAAACGACCTTGGATGAGTATTTTGACGATCCTGACACGTTCGTATATTTGTTTTGGACTTGTACGCATGTTTGGTTGGAGTCCTGGGTGACCTAAGCCCATTTCGACGCATTATGTGAAAGATTTTGAAATATGAGTTTTTAAGTTGAAATCTTGAGTTTTGATGATCGATTCTTGTTATTTGATGTTATTTTGGTGATTTGAGGTAGTGAGCGAGTTTCAATGATGTTATTACACTTGTGTGCATGTTTGGTTTGGAGCCCAAGGGGCTCGGGTGAGTTTCAGATGCATTGTAGATTGATTTGGAACAACTGATGCACAGTTGTTACTGGTGTCAAGTTGCAGGTCTCATATTTGTGAGAACCTGATCACAATTGCGAGCCTCGCATTTGCGATGTCAGACTCACAAATGTGAAGTGGGAACTAGGGGCTGGGGTTCGTATTTGCGAGCAAATGTTCGCTTTTGCGACCTGGTCTGGGATCGCTTTTGCGATCCTGGAGTCGCATTTGCGATACTGTGCTACGTAGAGAAGCTTCACACTTGGATTGCATTTGTGATGTCGTGTTATAATTCCATATATTTTGACGTTATTTACCATACTTGCTTGTTGTTTGGATGCTAATTTGTGCGATAATTGAGCTTAATAGAGTTTATTTCATGTGTAGGAATGCTTGGACATGAATTGGAGAAAGGTTGCACGAAATGCTACATTAGAGCTACAAAATGGAGCAATAAAAGAAGACGTGCAAGGTAATGAAAAGTCATGGCTATAGACAGTGCAAGGCATTGTCGAGGGCACTATCATTGGCGCCCCAGACAGTGCCTCGCTCAGAAACATTGGCGCCATAGACAGTGCCTCACGCAAAAATATTGGTGCCCCAGACAGCGCCTCTCGCCGACAATGCTATACGAGCAAATTTTAATTCCTCACTAGTTTTGAACATGTAGACTTCGGCCCCTATCATATAAATACCTCTTAAAGTTAATTTTTGAAGGGAGAAACATTATTGGAGAGGCAAAGGCTATGAGAACACTTGAAAGCAATGAATCACAAGAGATTTCTCTTCCGTTCTTCCTTAATCTGTATTTTAATGCTTTCAATTATTATCATGATTGTTAGTATGCTTATGAGTAGATAAACTTTCTCATCTAGGGTTTGATGGAACCTATTGGACGATGAATTTTTGTTATGTTTTAATATAATTTTACCTTTGAATATCCCTACTTGTTCAACTACGTGTATATTGTTGTTGATTGAATGTCCATCAATTGACTGTGCCTAATTATTATGTATTGCTTGAGAAAGAGTGCATATTTATGTTTTTGTCAAACAACGTCACTCCCAAGGTATATGAGCGATTAATACGGCAGGTTTAAAAGCGGGATTAGAAATAACGAAGCTTTGATGTGATCGTAGTGAGCGGTGAATTAGTGCCAGCTAGTGTAGCTCGAGAGAATATGTCTAGTAAATTATGGTAGTTTCTCGAGAGAGAACTACAACACCCGGAGTACTCACGATCGGTAGAGAATAATTCGGCGAAATTATAGAAGACATGACGGGACAGATTCCGACAATTGGGAAATCATAACTCTAGATCTCCTTAATCTTGTCTCCAACCCTTAGTATCCCTTGTTTTTAATTTACTTCTTTAATTTGTTAGTTAATTAGTTAGACATAAGAATCTTAATATTTATAACTTAGGAATTGTTCGAACTTGTCTTCCTAGTGATAGTAAACAGTTGTAGCTAAACCTTAGTTCTCTATGGGATTCGACTCCAGACTTTTAGACCGGGTTATATTATAGCGACCGCTTATCCTTTTTAGGACTAGATTTGAGCGTGATCAAATTTTGGCGCCGTTGCCGAGGAACTAATAGTGTAGTTATAGCTGTATATATTGCTAGGTTCAAGTTTGAACTTTTATTTTGTTTTGTTTTATTTTTTTTAATTTTATTTTATTTTACTTGTTGATTTGAGAAACATGACACCGTGGCAAAATTTTCAAAACGTTCCCGAAAGCGAGTTATATGCACCAACTCAATCTTATTTGTGGAATGTGTGTGATGTGTGTGGTTGTCAAAATGGTCACTTTCATGGTTGTGCTTATATTTCTTATCCTCTCCCAACCCGTTATTATGATGGTTCTATTTTTTCTTGGGAAGTGAATAGGAACAAAGGACCCGGGGATGATGACCTGAAGGAGATCAAGGATATGCTAAGGTACCTTGTGGGAAATAATAATGAGACACAACTGCAGATACAAAGGCAAGAGACAACTATTCGCAACTTGGAGGCTCAAGTGAATCAAATAGTTGAAGCTTTTAATGCTCAACAAGTTAATAGTATGGATAGTAGCCAGGGGCAGTGTCCATTAGAGACAGAAATTGAGGTGCCAATGGAGGGGTCCAGAGTAGAACACCAACACTCTAACCAGCTAGAATTTAATGATGTCAATGTTGAAAAAATAATACTAGAGTCAGGCAAGGACATCGAGGATACAAATTTAGTTGACTCTAGTATAATTTGTGTCGGGGAGGCTGAAAATCTTGAAGTTCAGGTATTTGAGCATGTCAGACCTCATTCTAAACACTTCTCTACATTATATTCGGATGGTGAAGTGAGAATTGATCCTTATGAGCATAAAAAGGAGTCAAGGGAAGAGGTAGACGAGCCTTATATTTTGAAATTTTTAAGACCGTCTAGGCAAGGTGACACCCCTCGGTCTAGAGCCAAAAGGTGCATGAGAGTTTACTTAATTTTTGGCTCATAATAATTTATAACGCCCCAGGAGCATAATCATAAGCTTGAATCAAAATTTGGGGTTCAATTCATAAGCTCGAGGTGGAGGCAGAAAGTGGTTCATGTCGTGCCGTGACGTTAAATCAGGCGCTTGTTGGGAGGCAACCCAACTTTACTTCTTTCTTTTATTTTTAATTTTTTACTTATTGTTTTTACTGTACTATATCTGTAGTGTCATTTTTATTTTATAGGAGCATGGAATGCAAATCCATTGGAAGGAGGCAAAAGCAAGCAGATGGTTAGAACTAAGTGTGGGATTCCCGTACAAAGAAAAATACCGGGAGAAGTATGAGTACCCCATGAGCTATTAGTGCTTCGGCCTTTGGCCTATCAGAGAGTTTCTTTTACCCTCTTATTATTTATGTTGTGCATTGGGAACAATGCAAAATTTTAATTGTGGGGTGAGGAGATTGTCTGGGTAACTTTCTATGCTATTTTAGTTGTGTTTGTTTAATTGATGATTTTTTGTAGAAAAATAATTGGACTTTTCCCGATGATGGATCTCCTAGACAGTTTTCTTGAGGGATTTAAGTTTAAACAAAGTACACAAAAAAAAAAATAGAAAATAGAAAAATAGAAAAATATGTATTTTTATTTCCCTTAGGTAGTAATAATCCCCCGTGATTCTTCTTCATGCCTCGGTTCTTTTTCTTGGGATGTAACTTGAACCGGGTAGTAGATTTAATTTTTTTATTTTTTTACTTTTAGAGTAGTATGTAGGAAATAAAAGAGAAGCACTGATGTGATTTGCACCTTTTGACTTGTTTGATGGTTGCATACTTAGGTTCTGGCATGTGTTTCACCTTATCTTAGCTTTAAATATATGATGATGCCTTGGTAAAAATGAATAGCATGTGCTATAATTCCTATGTCTCAGTTGCTTGATTTGTGTTCACTTTATTCTTTATGCTTAATATATCTCTTGGCTTTGTGAATACTTGTTTGATTGAGAGTCAGAATGAGACCGTCCTTAGTGAGTCATGTGCCATGTGTGAAGTGAGTTCCTTGTATAGTCCATGTTATTGCATTTGAGTCTAGAACTTGTCCGGAATGTGAACTGAAGCAAAATCCTAGGTGTTGTTCGGTTTGAAAAGTGATGTTAGGCTTTCTTTAATCTTTGCGGGTTTTGTTGCTTATCACAAATAAAATCATCCCTAGTTTATCCTTTTGAGCCTATAAGCCTTTCTTTTTGGCACCCGCATTACAAGCTTATCCCCTTTCTTAATTGAATAATTTTGATCCTTATATCTCTTAAAGCACTTGAATTGTAAAGAGAGTGCTAGAAAGAAGTAATGAGGAAACTTGGGGTAGCTTTTGAGTGGAACCAATAGAATGAAGGAATGTGCACTTGTATTTTATTAAAACTCCACTAGCTGCAAGGCAAAAATACAAAAATAAAAGAAAAAAAAGAATAAAATGAATAAATAAAGGTTTCTTATTTTTGCTAGTGGATGTGATCTGAAGCAGTGTGTAAAGAAGAAGGAAAAGAAATTCTGGGGTGAGTGTCACGCTTCGGAATTCCCACTTTTGGGACCGTGATGACGCCTAACATTTCACTTGCTAGGCAAGCCAACGTTAGAGAATCATTAAGCCAATTTTCATTCAATTCAGTACATAAAGTCAAATAAGTTGAAACGTAATGAAACGAGTGCGGAATAATGTAAATGCTATAATATTTACTACAACCCAGATCTGGAGTAACAATTTATGAACTTCTAA